GACTTAAGAAACAATTCTAACTTCACATTAGCTAAATACAGAACGGAACGTTTTAAAACTAGTTTTATACCAGCAATGACTGCTAATTTTAATAGTAAATAATTTGTAGTATTTTAACAACTGTACATATATACGATATATCTATATTTATATTATTTGATATTCATCCTTTATTATGTTTCTGTAACCATATTGCAATTCACCTTCGGGTGCCAAAATGTGTTTCTTAATAAACCTTTAATAATAATAAAAGAATTGCATCTTTTGGATGCTCATCCATTCTCGTACCCAGAGCCCTTCTTACGCGCGGTGCGACGAGGGGCCCTGGCCAATCCATAACCAGATACCATAAAAACATGGTAAGAAAACAATGTCGGGTGTTAGAACTAGCCAATCGATGCCAGTTCGGAATATGGATTTGGACAGAGCCCCTCGCCGCACCGCGCGTAAGAAGGGCTCTGGGTACGAGAATGGATGCTCATCCTACGGCCGAGTGTCATTTAAAATACTCGCCAGGCTTATATCTTGCGACGCCATCCTTGTTTGTCTAGCAGTCACAGTAGGACGTATAAAACATGACCCGCTTGCTAGGGTAACCCTACCTGACGCGTTTACATGGCTTATGTAAACAAAAAGATATCCCTGCTGCTAGGGTCACCCTATCTGTTTGATAGGGTAACCCTACCCCTAGGGTAACCCTAGAGCGCATATAAACGCTTCCTATAAATCACATTGGACTAGGGTGACCCGCTTGCCAGGGTAACCCTCCTGATAGGGTCACCCTACCCCCATGTAAACAGGCCCTTAGACTTTTCAGTATGTATAATATTCAATATTAACCCTCAAGTCACAAATGGTCAGCACCCCAACGACGAGCAATTAGCGGTGGACTACTGTAGATTTAAAATAGAGTGTTGTAAAATGGTAAACGAACCATATGAAGTAGATATATCTGCTGGACGTTTTGAAGAACTGTTAGTTGGTGAAGAAGTAGGAAAAATGGGGAAAGATAGTTATATTGTACATGCCAAGTTTCATCAGGAATGAGTAACATTTGGCATCAGCAAACTACCTGTAGTTTTGCCTCAATTGCTCAAATATGCAGGATTAGAAAAACTAAACACAATTTGCTCAAGTTAAATTTTATTTATTGATGATCAAGTTTCAATGTTACCTGAAACTTTATAATATGGTTTCAATGCAAACATTTGCTTCAAAAATATTTTGGGCATAAATAAAAATTCTCGTGGTCATGCATGTTAATGCTAATTTCCACTCCGGAAAATAAGCACCGGATCGGAGGTTTTTCTGATTCGATCCGATCCAACAAGCGATTTCTAGAAAGAGGACAAGTGGAATGATCGGATTGGAAAAGGCAAAAATGGAACTCGTTCCAGTCTCCCATCCTCCATTTTGTAAATTTGTCAGGTAATGTTTAATTATTTTAATTTATGTGAGATAATACGGCATTTTGATTGGTTGTTGCCAGGTTTAATCCGCGGGACCGGAGCATAAAGTTGAAAGTATTTCAACTTTTTATTAGGCCGCATAATTGAAAGGGATAAAATATTTAACTGCAGAAGAATGTGATGTTTTGGTTTGTTTTTGTAATGTACAACAGACTCACATCTTACCAGTAGTGGCAAGAATTTACGCAAACTTTGTTTTACCAGTTTTACGTTGACTATATTCGTGCGTGAATCTATAGACGGCGGCTAATTCAATTGATCGTTCGTTTGAATTAGCCGATCGTTCGTTTGCTCGTCAGTTGTTTCCCTGAGAGCCACTGTTAGCAGGGTGGTATACAGGTACCCGGAAAAGTAATTACTCTGAAAGCTGATAATGAGGCACATGATATATTATTCTTATCCAATTTTAAGGCTATTCGAAATTGTTACCAGGGAAGTACCAGGTGGAAAACGAATTCTAATAATAAATATTAAAGCCCAGCAAATTGTTTAAAAGAGCCATAAACCATTAGATTTAAAATTTTTAATAAAGGTTTACTGAGTAACGTTTCGTCTTAACTGAAGACATCTTCAGATTTAATATAGCCTTGAGTAATAACGAAACGTTACTAAATCTTTATTGAAAAAAATTAAATCTAATGGTTTATGGCTCTTTTAAAAGCAATTTGCTGGGCTTTAATATTTATTATTAGAATTAATTTTTAGGCTATTAAAGCGATAATTGGATCATGAAGTTCCCATAAATTACTGAAAAATCCAACACTGGTTTAGTCCATATTAATTTTCGCCATGCAGTGTAAATGCAGTATATTACAACCGTTACCCTATAACTAACTTTGATCCTTTCTCCTATCCTAACCTAATCATGTTTAAACATGCACACCAAAGTTATTGTGACGCTATTTTTAAACCAATACTGCAGATAAACAGTCGGCTGTTTTCGTGCGAAATTTTGGATTTTGAAACATCAATCTTATTTCTGTAAGAGTTATTTACCGAGAACCGAGGCATTTAGCCAAATATACAGACAGCCAGATATATGAGAACGCAGCCCGAAGCGCAGCCGAGGTTCGAGCTAATTAACTGACTTACTACATGAGTGACAAGGTTTTGTCAAACTCAAACAAAATATATAGAAAATACTCTGTATAGAAATACATGGCAATTATAATTAATTAACAATTAAAAGGGTGTTGGCAAATAATGGGTGATTTGAAGTTAATGCGGTTAATTTTAGTACGCATACCCATTGCAGAAAAACTTCAGTAGAATGTGAATTGTTTTTAACACTGTTGGCATTGTTTGAAACGCACCTATTAGTATATGAGAAGAGATCCCATGCAAAGGCAAAGTGGTTTTAACAAATTTACTTAATTTATTCATTTCATATGTAAAGTTTTTGCCTTTGCCTTCGATCGGTGGACTGCATTTACACTGATCGGAGAAAGATGGATTCTGACGAGGAGGAAAGTTTATCAAGTTTAACGTGTTGAACATTACTCAAACTAAGATTTGCTCGGATTTGTATGTACTGTTTGTATCCTTTGTGCTATTTAAAGCATGTGATTATGTAGCTTTTTAACAGTACGTCACTTTTTGTACATTTCATATCCTGCATGGAAATAAACTCGTAACTGGAAGCCTGAGAAAGGTCATGCGTGTGCAATACCAAAAAACGTTTGATCGCCCCCTCTATAAAAAAACCTTCCTGAAGCTTAATTATTTCCCCGGAAAAAAATATTTACAGACAAACACAAATCGAAATCTCAACTATACATAGCTCGTCCAAAGAGACTGGACACAAGTAAACGAAATACTTCATGTCAGTCCACTTTCAACCGACTTTTTTATTAGACTTGAAAACGGTTTGAATAAAAGTCATAAAATGGGTCTAGCACGTTTTAAGATGCAATTTGGACATGAGTATAGTCCATGCGCCTTATTCGTCGGACTGAAAATATTTCAATTTTATGAGATAAAGTTCGGTTAAATGCAAACGAGCAAGGACTTTTTATATTTGGCTAATAATTTTTAAATGGAATTAGTGGATTTAGTAGTGTAGTAGTGCTGTGTACCTTGACTATGCTGTTTTGTTTTTTGTGTTAATAATGTGATTTGGAGTTGTTTTATTGCCTTTTTATTGTCAATTCAAACTACGGCTACAGATATTGTTGTATGGAGTTGTATATAAATTAAGATGTCGACATTAGAATTACATCAAACATGACGTGAATATGACATGAATAAATTAAGATTAGGTCGACCTAGTATTGGATCAGTTTAAAGAAGACTAAAACGTTCTTGTGCCTGCCACTATAGCTAAATTTAGTGCAAAATTTTAAAGTTATTCAGTGTACACAAGTTAGAATATAGGACGTAATGTTCAATACCAACACAACAGCTTGCCCAGTGTATGATATCCCTCCTCATTACTGTTTCCTGTATCACCAAACCTTAACTCGCTTACTGGCAGGTATTCTTTGTCGACCAAGTACCCGCTGTCTTCAACCCATTTGTCTTCCACACTTTCACAATTGCAGAGTTTGTTGGGATCATAACACGAACGATTCATGCCGCAGGCACAGCTTTTTGCATTTGGATTCGAACCACCCCAATACAACATTTTGTATCCTTGACGTGATACCCACCAGGAATATGCACCTGAGGGGGATTGAAAATAAAAGGCGGTACCTATACACTCGTATTTTATGAATTGTTCGCAATAAGCGGACGCATTAACAACGTTCTCGATTTGTTTCATGGTCGCGTTGTGAAATGCTACATTTCTACTGTAGGCGCCTCTAGCTTCGTAGCCACTGACGTGCGTTCTTTCTTCACCATCATGACCAAACACCGTCACACCAACGCCATTTTTGTCGGTCATGTTGCAGAATACTGTAAATGGGGCTTCGTTTTTCTTTGGTTGGATGGTATAGTAACCGCTGCGTTTTTCAGGTTCATTCGACTTGATCACAGAACATGTTGAAGGTACACCTATGCAAAAAATTGGTGTATAATTTAGGAGATGAAATATTTGTGAAGTGGCAACCTCGTCCCTAGGACATTTTACATCCACGGTTGAAGGTCGGCAAAAATGGGCCTGGGATTGGCTGGTCACATGACACCCAGAATATGATGAGGGTGTTTTTGACACGATATTTTATGTGAAATTAAATATTTGTTGTTTGTTTACGAAGAATAAATCTGAAGTAACGAACCATTTGCCAACTTATTCATCTAAAGACGTTATTTTAAGAGGAATATGCTTGCATAATTCTTATATCCATGGCATGAGTCCAACAAACACCTAGCACAGCAATTGTAGGATGTTAGTGAATCTTGACTATATAGAGCGTTTGCACTCATTCTTCATAGGGACCAACTCTACAAAAGCCATGGCGGCCATGTTGGTGTTCCAACTTCCAAACAAAAGAGTTTAATTAAAATTATTTTGAATTAGAACACCAACATGGCGGCTGTGACGTCAGGTTCAAACGCTCTATACTGTCGGTATTTTCTTAAGTTTGCCGTATAGTCTTAAGTAAGACAGAAAACAATTAAGCACTAGGGTTGTTTGAATAAACTAACTATAAAAGAATTAATACGTTTTTGAACAGAACATGCAATGGGATTGTGGAATTGATCAGCCTATCCCAGGGCCATTTTCGTCGATCTTCAGCCGTGGAGGTGAAATGCCCTGGGGATGAGGTTGGTGAAGCGGTTGAACTGTGATGAGGTTAAATGCATCAGTTGTGTGACAGCTTTAGACTTTTTAGTATATAAAATATTCAATTTTAACGCTCAAATAACAAATGTTCAGCGCCTCAATGACGAGTAATTAGCGGTGGACTACTGTAGATTTAAAATAAAGTGTCCTAAAATGGTAAACGAACCATATGAAGCAGATATATCTGCTGGATGTTTTGAAAAACTGTTAGTTGGTGAAGAAGTAGGAACAATAGGGAAAGAGTTATATTGTACATGCCAAGTTTCATCAGGAATGAGTAACATTTGGCATCAGCAAACTACCTGTAGTTTTTACCTCAATTGCTCAAATATGCAGGATTAGAAAAACTAAACACAGTTTGCTCAAGCTAAATTTTATTTATTGCTGATCAAGTTTCAATGTTACCTGAAACTTTATAATATGGTTTCAGTGCAAACATTTGCTTCTCCACATTGGCTAATTTCCACTCCGGAGAATAAGCACCGGATCAGAGGTTTTTCTGATCCGATCCGACCCAACAACCCAGCGGGCAAAATGACGTTTATCCAACGTTGAATCAACGTTGGAAATGACCTTCCAGACGTTGGATAGACGTTGGATAGACGTTGAAAAAGGGTTGACTATGCAAATTGGATCGACGTTACTGTTTCAACGTTGAAACAACGTTGAAATTAGGTTGCCAATCTCGTCAACCATAATTCAACGTTGAATCCACGTTAAAACAACGTGGAGATTGGTTCACAAATCGACGTCGTACATTGAACCATGAATGAACGTTAATTCAACGTCTGTTGGCTGCTGTTGAACCAATGTTTGTAAAACAACGTCCAAACAACGTAGATATTAGGTTGTCGACGTCGCAACCATTTTTCTACCAAATTTCAACGTTGAAACAACGTCGTGTGCCCGGTGGGAAGCGATTTCTAGTAAGAGGACAAGTGGAATGATCGGATCGGAAAAGGAAAAATGAAGCTCATTCCAGTCTCACACATCCTCCATTTTGTAAATTTATGTCAGGTATTATTTAATTATTGTAATTTATGTGAGATAATACAGCATTTTGATTGGTTGTTGCCAGGTTTAATCCGCGGGACCAGAGCAAAAAGTTGAAAGTATTTCAACTTTTTATTATGTGGCCAGCAACGTCGCCGGATCAATCGGAACCGAAAATTTGTACCGATGGCGTATGCGTGGATTTTTTTTTGTTCCAATCCGGTCCTATCCGCTGCTTATTTTCTATGGAGGGTGATTACCGCCAAAATTAATGTTCGAATTTTGCATTACAAGTTCTAGATTTTGTTGTTCGTTCCGTGCTCTATGATATCAATGAATTGAATTTTGACATTAAAGAATTGAATTTTGATGTTCGCAATAGCATTTGCACGTCTGTTTGCCCATTCTGTCCTTAAGCATTCCATTGTGATGACGTAACATTATGCGTGACCCTCAGAACACAATTTTTCAACTCGTGTTTAATGATAATTTATTTCCCGATATTTTATTTATCTATTGTATCTGTTTTTCGTCGTTCTTACTCCGTAAGCGACCTTAAGGTGGCTCACAGTGTTTAAGCGACCTTTAAGGTGGCCTACAGTTATAGTCCGGTTTAAAACACTTGTAAAGCTCAGACGTCGCCCTCGCGACTCGCGCGTAGAATCTTCGTGGCCCGCTAAAAATCTTGAAACTTCAAGGCACTCCTACATGAACCTGTCACTGAAACTTACGTAAATCCTGTCATTCAACTCAGTTCACATGTAGTCTTTTATCTGCTGAACCCAGCAAAACTACAATGCAGACAGTTACGAGTTGTTTTATACAAAAAGTCAAACTCTACTTGAATGTTTTGAAAAGTTTTCACACCGATTTTCACAACAAAACTAAATTTAAGAAACGTTGGATTAAGTCAGTGCGGTTATTGTGTTCTCAATTTTTCGTATTTTGAACATATATATCTTTTATTTTCATTTCGAATAAGTAAAAAAATATCTGTGTGATATATATATAAGCCAAAAACTCAAAGTGAAAATTGCTAAAAAAAAGCCAACGATAAACCGTACGCGTTTCGTGTTCCTCACGCATCATAATTTACACGCATGCGCAAATAGTGATCATGTCGAATCGATATTTTGTCATGTCAACAGCTTCAGGTGGATTTAGGACTATTTTCTCGCGTTTCCTTCGGTGAAAATGTTTTAAACTTTGCACGTTTGTTAAGCATGACGATTCGCCAAATCTTACAGACTGATTTTTTGTAGTTGTTATTCATGAATATCTCAAAAACTGCGTTATAAACATCCCTTCAAATTTTAATATGTCATTCCTCTTTCAACTATAAAACTTTAAAAAAATACAGAAAAATTGACCGAAGGAAAAAAAGATAATTGCCGTTTGATTGTAAACTTAGACAATAAAGTGCAAAGGGTGAAACGTCATGGTTGCCATGGCGACACTAACACTGTTCCTATTTGTTCATACATCGACAGCAGAAGATTTCTGAACTTTCCCGGAAATGATTATATTGCCCTGTCTTAAGTGTGTTCAATATAAATTTGGTTGAAAACGAAGCTTACCTAAAATACTTAAAATGTTAGAAAACTGTAGGGAGCCACCTTAATTCTGCTAGCATGGCGAGAAATATTGGACATGGTCAAAATTCTTGTACCCAGATCCCAGATGGTAAAATTCTTGCGCGCGTGCAGCAAAATGACCACTATCTCGTTTTGTAAAGAGTTGGATAATCTTACGACGGCTGATTATTACGCTGTTTCTAACCAAAAGAAAAGGAGAAAGAATGAATACGGGGAAAATTATTTTGCGATCGTTTAATTGTCGAGAGAAGCGAGCAATGCGTAAGTTCGGAATACAACAACATAAAAAATAAGCAAAAAAGCTGATATTGGCACTGAAAATGACCAAAATTGCGAAAAAATATTCGAAAATGTTTGAAACCATGGCAACAAGCCAAGGCT